TGAAGGAGAAGACAAACTAAAAGAAGATCTGAAGGAAAAAGGTTGAGAACTAGAGTTGCTAAGAGTGGATAGATCTATGAAAATAAGACTCTCTTTTGGTTTTTCCTTTTCCAACTTCAATAATCAAAACTTTAGAAACATGATTTTCTTCTTACTATCTTAGCAAGCTGCAAGCTCTGATACCATTTTTATACACAGCAGTAGGTAGTAATATTTCTATACACAGTGACAGATAGTACGACCAAGGCTCTGGTAATTGACACAGCTTCAGTTTCGAGCTCTTCGGGTGGTAGAGTCCTAACAATACTATATGGTAGTATGACAACAGCATGTAGATCGATCCAACTTGACAAGATAATACCAACCATAAGCTTTCCATAGATCAAACATATAACCAAAGTATTCTAGCCGGTGTTCAAGACTCTGGTACTTTCTTGGCTTTAACATCGAACTGGGGGTCTGACTTTTATGGATATATGTCTTTCACTATAGTAACTTACTATTAGTATGATCTTGGGGCAGTATAACTTTTCTTTGGCTGAGGGAAAGGGATCAACGATCTGTTTAACAGTTTAACAAGATTTTTTGATGCAAAAAATCCATAATAATATGGCAACTGTAGAGCATACTTAACTTGAATCACTGCAAACTTTGGAATAGATTGAAGAGAAACATGAAGCTAAAAGATTTAACTATGAAAAAAAGAAGATAGAATTACCAAAAGAGAAAAGAGGTTTTTAGCCAAACATATTTTATAGAGAAAAGTTTCTTACAAGAGATTTTTTTTGATAAGTTGTGGATGATACCTTTTTGAAAAAGTAGCATCTTATTTATACAAAAAAAAGTAAAAGAATAGTAACATAATAGGATAAGGCTAGGACAAAGCAATTTTACAAGTGGCTTAAGGTAAAGCTAAAGGACAGTGACTCATAAGTATGGTACAATAACTCATTACTATGGTATGGTGACTCATCACTTATGGTATAGTGACTCATCACTATGACTCATACTAAAGTACAGTGACTCATTATGACTTGACTAAGACATAAAGTTGATGAAGACTTAACATAAAGTTGTCTTGATGTGGAGGCATCATAATCAACTCTTTGGAGTCTTTTAGAGAAAACTAAAAATATCACGCGTAATTATACAATATTGGACTGAAATAGGGAATCTTCTATCTTGTAGCACCATGAGTGTCATCATTTAAGAGAATAATAAGTGTGTTCTGAGAGAGGTTGAGGTGTGAGTTGTCTGCACATGGTGCGAAATCATAGTCGATGTTTTCTAACCATTGATCTGGATCAAAATCTTCAAGTGGGTCTTGAGAGTCTTACCATTCCATTTATTGTAAAACTTCAGGAGGTTTCCAGTAAGGATTCCATTCTACTGGGCCTGCATGGCCAAGTTCAAATCTGGTAGTATCAGAAAGAGGTTCTGTCCAAGCACCATCAAGATGGGTTTCATAAATCCTTTTTTATCAATTTTGAGTTGATAATTGTACTCTGAAAGATAGTCAAGGTGTATACCAAGAGATTGAATAGAGGTGTCTCCAAACTTTCTGAGTGTTTTGGATTGGTATTTGAGCAAGAGGTGTGAGGCTTTTTGGTCAAAGGTTTGAGTGACAAGAAGTTTGGGTAACTCTGGAGGAGGATTTTTTATGGGAAGGTTAAGGAATTCATCAGGTAAATCAAATTCATCATCAAGGTGAGGTTTTTGAGAAGAAGAGAAAAGAGGGTTTTTTTAGGAAGAGGCTTGTGAAGAAGAAGGTGTTAGGTTCATCATGGAAATGACTAGAATAACCTGTAAGGTTTTTGAAAGAGGTTTTGAAAGAGGTCTTGTGAGCATGTCTGGAATGAGGTTATCTTTGCCTTTTATATGTACGGTGGTAAAATAGTACTGTGAGAACCACTGTGATAACCTGAGTAACTGTGCATTTGGCATTTTTTTCTTTTTGAAATTGAGCATCTGAAAAAAGGCTGACATATCCAATTTCACGAGAAAGTGAAATCCAATGAGGTGAAATTTAAATCTTTAGATTCCATAGTTTACAGCTAAAATCTCTTTTAGTGTAGAGTGATAATGGAGTTTCGAATCTTTAAATTTTTCACTCTTGTAACCACAGATTTATCTGGTTCCATCTTTTTCTTTTAAAAGGATTGCTGACCAAAATTGTTCACTAGCATCGGTCTGCAATATTTTTTTTTCCATCAGAAAGAATCTTTAAAGTGAAAAATGACTTTACTTTTATCTTCAAAGCTGTACTGCATTTGTCTGAATCTGAGACCATATGGGTGGTTCTTTCTTGAGCATCTGTCTGAGTGGATGTGTAAGTTGGGTAATATTTGGGAGAAATTCACTAATGTAATTGACTATGCCGAGAAATCGCTGAATTTGCTTCTTTGCAAGATTTTCATCAAGAAAATCTGCAAGTGACTGAGCAATATGAGGTTAAGCAATGTACTGACCATCTTTAAGATGCATGCCTAGAAAATCAATTTCTGTAGCACCAATGATCATCTTTTTCTCTGAAAGCATTATCCCATACTATTGAACAATACGCTGGAATTTATCTAATAACTGTGCATAAAAGGTGTCATCAGGAGAGAACAGTAAGATGTCATCAATGTAAATCAAGGCATTATCAAGAATTGGAGTAAATATCTTGGTCATGGCTTTTTGGAACAGTGAAGGAGCAACTTTTAATCCAAAAGGCATTACTGTTCACTGGAAATGGTGTTGAGGAATGCAAAATGTTGTTTTGTATCTGTCCTGTAGATGCATACCTAGTTGCCAAAATCTTGCTTTGAGATCAAACTTTGAAAAGACTTTTGCATTTGCCAAATTTGTAAACAAAATTTTTCTTTCTGAAAGAAAGAACTTATCATCTGCAAGGAAAATGTTAAGAGGCTTGTAATTGATTACCAATCTTAATTTTTCACGAACTTGTTCTGAACGTTTGTTGACATAAAACGCTTCACATGCCCATGGAGAGGAGGTTGGTTCAATTAATCCTTGAGCCTGGAGAAGGGAGCATTCTTGGATTGCTTGCTTGAAATGATCTGGGTTTATGCCTAAATGACTAGCTTTTGTAGGATTGGCATTTTCATCTTTTTTTAAGGGAAGGGAAATGAAAAATTCAGGGTTTTTTCAAAGTGGGTGATCACATTTTTAGAGAAAATCTGAGTGATTTTCTGTACACGAAAAATGAATGAACTTGTGTCTGAATTCTTGAAAAACATTTGGTTGAATGGTGAGGGTAAAAAGATTAGGAAGGTTTTTTCAAGGTCTAAAATAACTTTTAAACTTGATCTCTTTTCCACTAAACTTAAAACCTGGTATACTGGTAATGATATCAAAACCAATAACAAGGTCTTTCTGGGAAAATGGAGATCCTAAAATCTTTTGAGTTATTTGACATCCTAAAAAGATACATTTTCATCAGCGGTTTTGAAGAAGGTTTTTTGTTTGGTCTAAAAGTGTTTAGGTAAGACGAGGGGGTTTGCTATGGTTTGGGCTGCACTAGTATCAAAAAAAGCTATGACTGTTATAAGAGGGAAATGTTTGTGATGAAAGATCTGAACTAGGGCTAAGGGTAATTTTAGAGGTTGAAGGGTTTGGATTTTTTAGAGTTTTTGAATTGACATATACTCATAACATTAATCATCTGTGAAATCATCTAAGTATTCTGAGTAATCTGAATCTACATACTCATCATCATCAAACTGCTTAATCATAAACAAGGATATTTCATTCTGCTTATCATCAAGGGAGAAAATTGATTCAAGATCATCATCTGAGAGATTAATACCTGAGATATTAGCAATGTCTTGGATCATTTTAATTGATTTTTTATCTGACTTTGGGCAATTCTTTAAAAAATATCCTGGTTTTCCACAAAGAAAACATTTTGAACTTTTGATCTTTCGATCTTTCTTCTTTCTGTCAAATTTGAATCTTTGAAATCTTTTGAGTTTATCAGCATATCTGAAGAACTTTTTATGTCTGGGTCTGGAGATTATTAGAGGTCTGAAAGGTCTGAATCTTTTGAAATGCTTCTTTTTCTTGTTGCTGTAAAAACATGTGAGATCTTTGGAAGAACATTTGATTTGAAGTCCTGAGAAGGAGTAAGAACATGGCTTTTCTAGCTTTTTGGAGTTGTGCACCAAGGTTTTGATGTATTTGTACTTTTTACAAATCTTATCAAATGCTTTCAACATCATATTGTAGATATCTCCAAGGGTTGTAGATTTAACATCAAGAGATCTGAGGTTCAACTGGGTCCTTGTTTGCTAGGCAAGTTCTTCTAGAACAGAATTAAAAAATGCTTATTTTAAGTTGACATCATCGAATCCGCCAAGTATGTAGAAATACTGAGAGAATTATTGATAGTGTCTGTCAAGGTCTTTTAGATGGAGAGAATAGCATTTTAATTTGAAGAATTACTCTCTAATCTTTTCCAATATGTGAGTTTCTTGTCCATAAAAAATTGCTACAAATTGAGAGACAGCTTCTATGATTGTTGGGCATTGAAGAAACTGGAGTTGTCTGTATTCACCAATGTTGTCCCAAAAATTTTTTAGAGTTCCAACAAGTTTGGAAACAAATCTGATCAAAACTGTGTTCATCGTAACATTGGGATGAGAGTTTAATTCAACGAGTCCCCATGCTACGAATTCTTGAAATCTTGAGGGCCATTTTGAAGGAGGAACATCATCAATGGTAAAAACTAAGAACTTTGATGTTAAAGGAGGAACATGTGATTGTTGTGGAGGAGGGTGTTGTTCAGCATCCATTGCATCAAGGTTATGGACTTCTGGAGTATTATCTGAAGCTTCAACTGTTGGTTCTGTCATGAAAATCTGAGGGAGCATCATTTCATCTGAGTCATCGGTATCATCTGTTTCAACTGATTCATCTGATTTGACAATGTTCATGTGAGATTCAATCTCAAAACTAAAAAGAAAAATATCTTCAAGGGAGAATTGAAAGAGGTTATCTTATGCCATCTGGGGAAGTATATCTGGAAGGGTTTGTGTAGGAGAAATCATAAGTTGTACAGATTTTTGGTTTGGTTGTGGTGTAGGGTTTTGAGGTATGGAACTTGAGCTGGGTTTTGGTTTTGAAGGTTGGAAAAGTGGTTGTTCTGCTACTCTTTTGGGTTTTGGATCAACTGGTTGTTTTTCTCAAAATCTGTGAATCCATTTTTCAGTTGTACCAAAAGAGGGTTGTTCTGGTTGGTCTGAGATAGGAGTGAAGTATTGTGTTGGTTGTGAAGATGTTGGGATAGATGTTGGGGGAAGTTTGTACTGAAAAGGTGTGAAAAAAGGTTTTGGAGGTGAGGTTGGAGGATTGTATGGTTGAAATGGAGGAAGAGTATAGGCTTGGTAAAGAGTATCATGCATACCAGTGTGATATGGTGTAAAGATGTTGTAACTAGAGGCTGCTTGTTGTTGTTGTTGTTTCTGACGAAATTGATTTTGAAGGTCTGCAAGTTGAATCTTTAGGCTCTTCATTTGTTTCTCTCATTTAGTGAAAGCATAAGTGAATCCAGTGTTGGTTTCAGTCATATATCTGAGTTATTGATCAAGTGTGATTATCCTTGACTGAATTTCAAGAATAATATTTTGGAGATTGACAAGGCTCTGATCAAAATGTTGACTGACTTGGTCCAACTTATGTTCAATTCTGTGCAGGTATGAATTCTGTTAGAGAGAATTTTTAGTTTGCCAGTTTAAAACTACTTTAGCACAAAAAACACTTTTTTGGTTCCCATATTCATCTCTGTCAGTGGAAGTGGGGATTTTTGGAATGTGTTTGTATTGATCTTTATGAAATTCTTGAAAAAGAGGGAAATATAAGCTTGGGTAGGTGGTTGTATCATGGAGATTTGTGGTAAAGATTTGGTAAAGGTTGGGTGGAATTTTGGGTGGAATTTAGTTGTTGTATGGGTTGATTTGAGTAGGTTTGAGTCTGTGGTTTATCTTTCTTAGAATAGATGACATAATAGTCAAACTTTCCTGAGGGTTCACCAAAGAGATCAACTTCAGGGTCTCCATTTTTATATCTTTCTTTGAGCTTTTGCTGGGAAGACTTTTTTTTTTTTGCTTCTTTGGAATATCATCATCATCCAAGAAACTTTTGTATGCATCTATCTGGCATTCTTTGCATTGACAATTTATGTCTCAATAACAATGTCCTTCTGGAGATCTATATGCATACACATGATTTTCATCGGACTGAAAGTGTGTGACTGAAACATTAAGGAGATCTATATGATGTCTTTGCATCATAAATTATATTGGAAAGATTGTTGGAGGAGGAACATCCTTTCCTTTGCTATGATCAAATTCAATTGTGACAGTACCATCCTGATTTGTCTTGTAGGTTGGATCAAAATGTTCAATTGGTTCATCTTGTTTCCAAATCTTTTGATAACTTATCATCCACATCTTTGAAAGAAGGGTGGCAAGTTCTTCATTGGAAATCTGCTTTGGAATATGAACATGTTTAGGAGTTCTGTCTGCTGTTTTCATTTTAACAAAAACTGTATCACTGGAGTGTGAAAAAGGCAAGTTAATGGCATGATCTTGAACTTTATATGCCATTTGGTAGTGAAGGGTTGCCTGGAGGCCTTTCATTTCTGTGCCTACGATCTGGGCCTGAACTTTTAAAGCATCTAACAGGGTTGGATCAAGAAGAGAGATATTATAATTTGGGAAGACTGTGAAGAAGATAGTTCCTACATTGGGTGTCGTCTTAACAATTCCAAGGACTGTATGCTTGTAATCTTTAAATCTTGTGTCCAATAAGGCTATTCTGGTACAAACAGGAATTCCATTTCTGCCATGGAAAGTTAAGACGATTCTGATAGCACCAAAGTGAATGTGAGTGTATCCTTGTTCTGACCACTAGTGAAAAAATTCTTTTGGGATCTGAAGAGTAACAAAGTGCTCTTGAGGTCCTACTGGAAGAATACATTGATCAAAGTTTGTGGCTTGAACATACTCTTTTGAAGCTGGACATTTGGGTTTTAAAAGAGTTTTTAAAGATCTAGTAAGAGAAGGGAAGGAGTTTAAGAAAGCTGTATAAGGATTTACAAGGGGTAGAATAGTTTGTTGGTTTTTTTTTTTTCTGGAATGTAATCTACTTCATATAAGAACTTAAACTTAGAAGAAGAAGATTTTTTAAGTACAGAGATGGAGGAAAGGACAAACTAAAAGAAGATCTGAAGGAAGAAGGTTGAGAACTAGAGTTGCTAAGAGTAGATAGATCCATGAAAATAAGACTCTCTTTTGGCTTCATGCTTCTCTTCAAGCTATTCCAAAGTTTACAGTGATACAAGTTGAGTATGCTATGCAGTTGTCATATTATTATGGATCCTCTGCATCAAAAAATCTTGTTAATCTGTTAAACAGATCATTGATCCTTTTTCTTCAGCCAAAGAAAAGTTATACTCACCCAAGATCATACCAATAGTAAGTTACTATAGTGAAAGACATATCTCAATAAAAATCAGGCCTTCAGTTTGACGTTAAAGCCAAGAAGGCGTCAGAATCTTGAACACCGGCTAGAATACATTGGTTATATGTCTAATTTATGGAAAGCTTATGGTTGGTATTATCTTGCCAAGTTTGACTGATCTACACGCTGTTGTCATAGTATCAGATAGTATTGTCAGGACTCTACCACCCGTAGAGCCCGAAACGGAAGCTATGTCAGTTGCTAGAGCCTTGGACGTACTACCTGCCGCTGTGTATAAAATTGATATCAGAGCTTGCAGCTTGCCAAGATAGTGAGAAGAAAATCATGTTTCTAAAGTTTTGATTATTGAAGTTGGAAAAGGAAAAGCCAAAAGAGAGTCTTATTTTTATGGATCTCTCCACTCTTAGCAACTCTAGTTCTCAACTTTTTTCCTCCAGATCCGTACTACCTGCCGCTGTGTATAGAATTGGTATCAGAGCTTGCAGCTTGTCAAGATAGTGAGAAGAAAATCATGTTTCTAAAGTTTTGATTATTGAAGTTGGAAAAGGAAAAGCTAAAAGAGAATCTTATTTTCATGGATCTATCCACTCTAAGCGACTCTAGTTCTCAACGTTCTTCCTCAAGATCTTCTTTTAGTTTGTCCTCTCCTCCATCTCCTGTACTTAAAAAATCTTTTTCTTCTAAGTTTAAGTTCTTATATGAAGTAGATTACATTCCAGAAGAAAAGAAAACCGAATAAACAGTTCTACCCTTGTAAATCTTTATACAACTTTTTCAAACTCCTCTCATTCTCTTACTAGATCTTTAAAAACTCTTTTAAAACTCAAATATCCAGCTCCAAAAGAGTATGTTCAAGTCACAAATTTTGATCAATATATTTTTCCAGTAGGACCTCAAGAGCACTTTATTACTCTTCAAATCCTAGAAGAATTTTTTCACCAATGGTCAGAACAAGGATACACTCACATTCACTTTGGTGCTATCAGAATCGCCTTAACCTTCTATGGCAAAAATGGAATTCCTGTTTGTACTAGAATAGCCTTATTGGACACCAAATTTAAAGATTACAAGCATGCAGTCCTTGGAATCGTTGAGACGACACTCAATGTAAGAACTGTCTTCTTCACAGTCTTTCCAAATTATAATATGTCTCTTCATGACCCAACCCTATTAGATACTTTAAAAGTTTAAGTCCAGATCGTAGGCACAGAAATGAAAGGCCTCTAGGTAACCTTTCACTACCAAATGGCATATAGAATTCAAGATCATGCCATTAACTTACCTCTTTCACACTCTAGTGATGCAGTTTTTGTTAAAATGGAAACAGTAGACAAAACTCCTAAACATGTTCATATTCCAAAGCAGATTTCCAATGAAAAACTTGCCACCTCTCCCAAAGACGTGGACGATAAGTTATCAAAAGATTTGAAAACAAGATGAACCAATTGAACATTTTGATCCAACCTACAAGACAAATCAGGATGGTACTGTCACAATTGAATTTGATCACAACAAAGAAAATGATGTTCCTCCTCCAACAATCTTTCTTACACAATTTATGATGCAAAGACATCATGCTGATCTCTTTGAGTCACACACTTTCAGTCCGATGAAAATCCCGTGTATGCATATAGATCTCCAGAAAGACATTGTTATTGGGACATAAATTGTCAATGCAAAGAATGCCATATAGACGCATATAAAAGCTTCCTGGATGATGATGATGATGATATTCCAAAGAAGCAAAAAAAGAAAAAGTCTTCCCAGCAAAAGTTCAAAGAAAGATATGAAAATGGAGACCCTGAAGTTGATCTCCTTGGTGAACCCTCAGGAAAGTTTAACTAATATGTCATTTATCCTAAGAAAGACAAACCACACACTTAAACCAAATCAAATCAACCCACATAATAACTAGATTCTACCCAAAATTCCACCCAACCTTGACCCAAACCTTTACCATAAATCTCCATGATGCAACCAACCTACCAAACTCAGATTTCCCTCATTTTCAAGAATTTCATAAACACCAATACAAACATATTCCAAAAATCCCCACTCCCACTGACAGAGATGAATATGGGAACCAAAAAAGTGTTTCTCGTGCTGAAGCAGTTTTAAACTGGTAGACTGAAAATTCTCTCTAACATAATTCATACCTGCACAGAATTGAACATAAGTTAGACCAAGTCAATCAACATTTTGATCAGAGCTTGTCAATCTCTAAAATATTATTCTTGAAATAAAGTCAAGGATAATCACACTTAATCAAGAACTCAGATATATGGCTGAAATCAACACTGGATTCACTTATGCTTTCACTGAACGAGAGAAAGAAATGAAGAGCCTAAAGATTCAACTTACAAACCTTCAAAATCAGTTTCGTCAAAAACAACAACAACAACAAGCAGCCTCTAGTTATAACATCTTCACACCATATCACACTGGTATGCATGATTATCCTTACCAAGCCTATACTCCTCCTCCATTTCAACCATACAATCTTTCAACCTCACCTCTAAAACCTTTTTTCATACATTTTCAGTATAAACCTCTCCCAACATCTTCACAACTAATACAATACTTCACTCCTATCTCAGACCAACCAAAACAACCCTTTTTTGGTACAACTAAAAAATATATTCACAGATTTCGAGAAAAACAACCAGTTGATCCAAAACCTAAAAGAGTAGCAGAACAACAACTTTTTCAACCTTCAAAACCAAAACCCAGCTCAAGTTCCACACCTCAAAACCCTACACCACAACCAACCTAAAAACCTATGCAACTTATGATTTCTCCTACTCAAACCCTTCCAAAAATACTTCACCAGATGGCACAAGATAACCTTCCTCAATTTTCTCTTGAAGATATTTTTCCATCTACTTTTGAGAGTAAATCTCACATAAACATTGTCAAATCAGTGAATCAGTTGAAACAGATGATACTGATGACTCAGATGAAATGATACTCCCTCAGATTTTCATGACAGAACCAACAGTTGAAGTTTCAGATGATACTCAAGAAGTTCATA